GCTAAGCTCCTGCATCAGCACCTAAACACGCACAACACAACCAGCAAAACACACAACACACACACACACCCCTCCCCACAGCACGAGTGTGTCTCAGGATACAGCCCACACACGTGCAACACATATATGCACACACACACACACACACACACACACACTCCTCGCATCTTTATGGTTACGACTTCTGGATCTGGTTCTGGTACGAGGCAAGCACTTGTTCTTGGTAGGCACTGCCCAGGTCTCTGGCTTCTGGACACTTAGAAGCTGGTCATTAGGAGAGCACATGGAGACCGGAAGTGAGCGAGTGAGCCAGCCAGGAAGACAGGACTGTCAGCCAGGCAGGAAGGTGCCCCCAAGTGTGGCTTATCTGTGTACGTGTGCGAGTGCCACTCATTTACTCCACGGAGGTTTGCCAAGTGCCCGCTGCATGCCAGGCCCTGCTCAGTGCACTGGCCAGGGATGCATGGGGGACAAGCCAGACTGTCCTGCCCCCGTGGGGTTACCACTCAAGTGGAGACAGACGGTGAACACGCAGACACGTGTCTGATGCTGCTGGTCACTGTGTTGAGGCCTTGAAATGCTCTCCCCACCCCACCCCATGAAATCCTGTTCCTGCCCCGCTGAGGAGTAGAGGAGATGTGGCTTCCACGAGGTGAGGCAGCCTGCCGGGGTCATCTACGGGGCGCCCGGAGGTGCCCCTGCAGAGGTCAGCTGCTCTTGGTCTTCGAAGGCGAGGTTTTACAGACAGAAATCACCAAGCAGTGGGGCAGATGGTGGCGCTGGGGAAGCCGCTGTGGAGCGCAGGACCAGCGGGAAAGACAAGGCGGACCCAGGCAGAGACAGTGAGGATGGTGCAGGGGAGCAGAAACACCGTTTGCTGAGGTCAGCCCACGGGCTCTGGGGCTCTGCATTCACAGCCTGCTCCACATCGTTCATGGGTTCCAGACCCTCAGCGGCCCCATCCGTCCAATGGAAATGCTGTTAGCTTGTACTTCACAGGGCTGACGTGGGGATCCAGTGAGCTGAGCCCTGGCTCCCTACAGGATCCCGATGCACAGTTGGTGAATGATGAAATGTACAAATACGAAGAGGCTAGAACAGGGCCTGGCACACAGGCAGTGTCCGATAAACATTAGCTCTTACTGGTGCTTAAAAGCAAAACAAGACAAAAATAATAATAAAAACACAAAGTCCAAAGATGCTAACTTGGGAAGATCGATAGGCCCATGAAAGCACCAGTAGCACTGGGGGCTGGAGGAGCTGAGGGAAAAAGTGACTCAGCGGAAGGGGTTTCCAAAAGTGGTGAGGTGGGAGAAGACGTGGTTAAACCACTTCAGGCCACCAGAGACTGTTTCTGAAAAGGCAGCTCTGTCCCGCAGGCCTGGGGATGGCATGAGGTGAGGGGGCAGGGCTGGACCTCACAGGCCGGGGTCTGCTTTGTCCCCACTGGCCGCTGTCAAAGCAGGCCCCAGCGAGCACAGTCAGGACACGGCCGGCCACCCTCGACCACGACCCAAACGCACGCTTGTTTCCCTGGTCCCTGCAGGGCCGCCGACGAGGGCCTGGCACCTGAGTGGGACCGTCTGCAGGACTCGCAGTGCCCATTGTTCAAAAACTATTAATTATGAAGAACTTCAAGGTGGTGACAATAGAACCTCAAACCAAGCAAGGGGCCCTTCGGAGCCTGGGGCCTTGGCATCTGCCTGGGCTGCACACCTGTGAAGCCGGCCAACAGTGCAGCCCAGACGGCAGGTACTGGCAGGCGCAAGGCCTCCTTACGGGGCTGGACCTTAACGTTTCTATCTAAAGATCCCCCTGTGGGAGATCCAACCCCTGCTAGGGGCAGACAGCCGCATGTGCTGTCTGGAGGCCCAGAAAGGCGTGTGCCAACGGTCGTCTGGGGACACACACCCATTTCACAATCCCACGACCTGTAACCGGGTTGGGAAATGCATTCCAAGTCCCAGATTTCCTTTAGTTCCTCTTCCACCAAGGGCTCTGGCCTGGCCATGTGCCGCCCCCAGCCTGGGGCTCCCTCCCTGCTGTCCCACCTCCCCAGAGGGGCCACCTGACCCCTTGGGCTCCAGCTGCATCCAGGCCGGGTCCCTTTGTTTCTTTCCAACTCTTGTCCCTCTGAAACCATCACTTGGACTTACATGTTTACGCATCTGCTGTCTGTCTCACCCGCAAGAATCCGAGCCCCAGGAGGGCCCTAGGAAGGTGCTCGGTAAACATGAGTTGAATGAAACACCACCTCCTCGGAGTGGGCTGCCCCGATCGGCAGCCCAACCTCTAGCCCATCATTACCGTGTCTGAAGTAACCGAGTTTAGCTACGGGTTTTCGGGCCTGTCTCTCGTCTCTCCTGACTCCCACGATGTCACAGGAGGGTAGGGAGTTTGTTTTGGTGGCTGCCCTGTGTCTAGTACCCAGCACAGAGCCTGGCACTGAATAGAGGCACAACATTTACTGAGCGAAGGAAGGAAATGTCTTTCCCTGACTTTCGGTCTCCTTCCCACGGACTCAGGCTGGCCCAGCAGAGGTGGGCCACCTCCCAGTACCCGCACTGCCAACAGAGTGAGCTCTCCCATCTCAGTCCACATCACCTCTTCCCGTGCCCAGCCTGACAGCGCGCTCTGTGCCCCGATCACTGCGCTCCCGGCACCACATAGGGTCATGCCTGGCACACAGAGGGTTGCCAGATTTAGCAAATAAAAACACAAGACATCAAGTTAAAATTAAATTTCAGGTAAGCAACACATAAATTTCCAGGATAAGTATGTCTCAAATACTGCACAAGATACACTTATGCTAAAAATTGTTCATGGTTTATCTGACATTCACATTCATCTGGCAGCCCTAGGCACACGTGAAGCCTCCCATGAGTGTGGGTAGTCAAGTGTATGCTTCTTCCAAAGCATCTTTGTCCTTTCCTGCTACCCACTCAGCCAGGGGCCCTGTCATTGTGGGAAGGCTTTCCAACTGTCAATATCCTCGTCTGCAAAAGTGAAAACAACATAAGGCCAGAGCCTCCCCGGCCGGGGTTCCATGAGGATTAAATAGCATAACTGCTAATATATACTCAGCCCTCTTCTTATGCCCTTCCAAGGCACTGCCCCCCTCACCCCCTCACAATCACCCCAGGCAAAGGCACCTTTAGCATCCCCACTTTGAAGAGGACGAAACTGAGGTCAGAGAAGTGAAGATACTCAGCAAGGTCACATGATTGTGTCCCACTCGTCCTTGGAGGTGCTGTTGCCACCACCATACTGAGACCCTGCATTAGGCCTCCAGGCAGAACTAGCTTTGGAGCCAGGACGGAGACCACTAACTAGTCCCAGGTGTCACCATCAAAACAGTGGGGTCACATTATAGGTGCTCATTAAATGTGACCAGTGCCGTTGCTCCAGACAGATGAACCAGAGGTCAGTGTAGTGGGTTTGTTTTTAATCCACTGAATTAACTGGTTATTTTTGCCTGGTGGCAGTTTAACCTGAATTGTGTAAAATGTTGCCTCATTTCCAAGACAGTCAACGGTGTGTGATTCCTGCTGCCAGACAGGCCAGATCGGCTGCAAGAGAATTCAGGAGCGCAGGGGCTGCCCCTGGCCTCACTGAATTCCTGGCACTCAGGGCTAGCTAGAGCTCAGTGAAAGTCTGTTGATTGAATGAATGAAGGAATGGCTGAAATGAGGGGCAAGGTTGGTGGTCTCCTTTGGGGAATGAGTGGGATTCAAGGTCATCCCCAGGCCCTGATAACAATTTCAGGGACTCCCCAAGGCGTGTTCCTGACTCTCCAGCTTTTTCTCCAAACTGCTGAAGTCAAATTGCAGCCAGACCTCCCCTGTTCCTTCCTTGGACCTGCTGGCGAGATCGACCCCTCCTTAAGGTAGGGGCTGAGACTGTCCAGCCCATGGCAGGGGCGCCCTCCACCGTAGGCCCTGAGCGCTGCCCCCCTTCCTGGCCCCTGGGCTTGGCTCCCTCACCAGTCAATCACTCCTGAGCTTGAACCCTCTAGAAAAAGTTTCTGGGCCTGCCCTCCTAAGAAAGCAAGAGGCATCACTGTGCCCCCTTGGGGAAGAGACCTCACCACTTTTGGGGCTGCCATTCAGTGAGTTCTACAAGATACAGCTCTGGTTCCAGTCTATTAAAAGGAAATGCCAGTAACTTTTAACACCTACCCCTCCCAAATGCAAAAGTATTCTCTGCTCATTAGGAAAACTCCAGGCATTACAGGGATCTGTGGGTATTTAAAGAACTAAAAATATTTGGGCGGGGGCCAGGGTGGGGAGCTGACCTGGGTTCAGCTTAGACTCCTCCATTGTGTGACCCTAAGCAAGTGACCCCCTGGCCATTTTCCGTGTCTGTAAAATGGGGATAATAATATTCTGCCCCTCAGAGTAGGCGTCAGATTGCGTTCATGTTGATAAGTTTCTGGCGCACGATAAATAAGTACTTGTTAAATAAATGGAGATTTCGGGCAGGGTCTAGGAGAGGACACACCGAATTGCTGAGAGGATGTGGAGATGGGCCAGGGAGGGGGGCCTCTTACGTAATATTTTAATATCTTTTTAATTCCAGGAGAATGTGTTCTTGCAGCACTTCTGTAATTAAAACTTGAAATAAAAGTACACCCCCGCACTTCCTCCCCCGTCTTTAGAACTCCCGAGCTGTGCCCCTTCCTCGCCCCCCACCCCCCCCCCGCCCCAAGCTGGTGGCCCCTCGGGCAGCAGACGTTGGGTGTGGATTTGCTCCGGGCCCCGCCGGCTGGGAAGTTACGAGTCCCGGACACGTATTTACATGACAAGGGCTCCCGGGCGTTTCTCGGAGCTGTCCGGGGCGTGCCTACGCGAGTTCCAGTTTTCCCCAGTCTACCTCCTTTCGGTCGGGTTAAAGTGCGCGGGGGGCGCAGTGGGCTTGGGGCCTCCTGGGGCTGCAGATCTGGAGTCGGGGAGCTTACTGCGAAATCAGGTAATGGGTAACCTGAAGGGCTCCCCCCTTCCCTTAATTTCCCCTGCCCCGAGTCCCAGGGGCATCGTGCTTCTCTGGGGGGGTGGGGGACAAGCTTCCCCCCGAGAGCCTCGGTCAAGGACCCCGGGGACCGGGTTGGGAGGAACGCACCCGCGATGGCTGGGACACAATCCCGCTGCCCCGGGCCTGGTCTGTGCCAGGCAGAGCTTCCTAACGGACCCCCGTAGGGGAGGGGACGCTGCGCCCTTCCTCCGCCGCGCGGGTCCTGGGTCTACGCGGGCCGCCTTGCTCTGGCCCTTTAAGAGCCCGCCCCCTTCCCCGTCACCCCGCCCCGCGGCCCGGGGAAGGGGTGCGGGGGAACCTCGGCGGGGATTGGCGCAGCGCGCGCCCCCTCCCCGGCCCCCGCGCGGTGGGAACCGGCAGCCCCGTCTAGCGCTGACGTCAGACCGTCTGCCTGCCTCCGACCGCGGTCTCGGAGCGAAACCCGATCTCCTTGGACTTGAATGAGGAGGAGGCGGCGGCGGCGGCGGCGGAGGCGCTCGGCTGGGGGAAGCCAGCAGCGGAGGCTCAGCCCCGGCGGCAGCGCGCGCCCCGGCTGCCAGCCCATTTCCCGGACGCCACCCGCGGGCACTGCCGACGCCCCCGGGGCTGCGGAGGGGCAGCCGGGGGGCGCAGGGGAGCGCGGCCCCGAGCACTGAGTCCCGCGGCGCCCCGGGAACTTGGCGGCGCCCCGAGCCCGGCGAGCCGGGGCGCGCCTTCCCCAACGCGCGCCTCCTGCATGCGGGGCCCGAGCGCCGGGCGCCGGCCGGAGCCCCCCCCGGCCGCCCCCGAGCCCTCTGCGCCCCGCGCCGCGCCGCCGCGCCGTCCATGCACCGCTTGATGGGGGTCAACAGCACCGCCGCCGCCGCCGCCGCCGGGCAGCCCAATGTCTCCTGCACGTGCAACTGCAAACGCTCTTTGTTCCAGAGCATGGAGATCAGTGAGTGACCCCGCGCCCCCCTCCCCGGAGGCCCCGTCAGGCTCGGACCCCGAGTCGAGGCGCAAATGCGGGCGGGGGCCTGGGCCGTGCGCGCCCCCTCGGGCCGTGCGCCCCGCGCCCCGGCTGCGCCCGCCGCGCCCGGGGCGCGCCCTCCCGGCTCGCGGCAGCTGGCGGCCGTCCCGGCTTTGTCCCGCGGCGCTGCGAGCCTGGCACGGCCCCCGCTGCCCGCGCCCCGCCCGCCAGGACTCGGACCCGGGGCCGAGCTGCGCAGAGGGCGGCGGGGCGCCCGGCGCGGGAGGGCTGGGGCGGGTGGATCCGTGAAGTTTCCATTTTATTTCCCTAAAGGGCAGTCGCGATGGAGCAATTAGGCCGGCTCTTTATCAACTTTGGATTGGGGGCAGGGGGGTGTCAGGCGTGTGAGACACTGTCTGGCCTGCGCGGTGCCTGGGGCTCCGGGTGTGTGTCTGGAGCGTGCGTGGCTCTGTGGGTCTCGGTCTGTGTGAGTGGGTTTCCGTACGTCTGTGGAGTGTGCGTGTCTGGGTGTCTCGGTCTAGGTCTCGGCGTCCCTCTCTCTGTCGTGTCTGTGTGTCTGGCTCGCGGGCTGCCCCAGGAGTGTGTGTGCCCGAGTGGGTCTCAGGGTCTCTCTGTGTCCGGGTCTGGGTGCCTCTCTTGAGTGTGTGCATCTCTCTGGGGGTCTGGGGACCATTTGCGTCCAGGTGTCTGAATCCAGGGCTCAGCGCTGGCGGGTCTGGCGAACGTGGATCCTGAGTGTGTGTCATTGTGTGATTGTCTGTGTCCCCGACGCACCTATAAATAGCTTCTGTCTGGACAGCTTGGCTCAGTCTGGCTGGGACGGTGGTTACAAATGAGTCAAAGTTTGGGGCTGTCTGTATTTGGGACTGCCTTGCTCTGAAAGGGGGAGGTGGACCAAGGGTGGGGAGGGGAGTGTTGGAAGCTTGGCGCTGACTCGCCCTGTGCTCGGAGAAGTTGAGACAAATAAGCCTGGACGTCCGTCACACATAGCCCACCCAGGTGAACACTGGGGTGGATGGGCATTTGACTGGCACCCCCAGGGGACTGCCTTCTAACCTACCCTTTGGAGACCTCTTGTCTCTGAGCTTCAGTGTCCCCTTGGTCTCCCCTAATCTCCCCAGGCGAGGGTGGCACACAGCCCTTCCCTGCTGGGGCCAGCCTTCTTCCATCTGGGACCAGGAGTCCAGAGGCAGCCGCCACCGAGCGAGGGCAGTCACTGGGTGACTCATAAGCCAGTTTCCGCAGGCGGCTGCCACAGTTTTCGACCCCTGAGCCTGTACAGTGAGGCGCAAGGGGTAAAAATAACCCATGACCGGCCCTGCTGGGGCAGGCTGGCTGGCGTTGGTGGTGGGTCCTTCCATCTGCCGGTCCCCACTCCCTCCAGTCCTGGAATTGAAAGCCTTGCTCTCCCTCACCACCACCACCACCATCACCACCACCACCCCTCCCCCCCCGCCCCCCCGCAGCTGCCTCTTGCCAGGCCAGCGAGATGCCAGGAGAACCTGCCCAGAGCCAGCGTTTGCGGAATTGAGTTGCATTAAACCAGACTGCTTCCCAAAGGCCCTTTGTGAACTCGGGAGGCTAATGAAATGCAGGAGGATATTATTAAAATATGTTCGCACATGTTTGGAGAGTCTCTCTGGTGCTAAGTGGATTGGTGCTCAAGTACTCTTCGTGCCTCGTTTTCCCCCTCCCGTAAAAGTGCCTTAGGGAACTCCCCGCACCCCGGTCCACACTGTCAGGTTGAACTTATCCATTATGAGGGCTGAGCATGGCCGGACATTCTGCTCTTCTTTCTTTGTGTTCAGGACTTTTTAAAAAATTCATTTTTATTTCTGTGCCTTCTTGGGCTAATCAGCCCTGACAATATTTTGGCCGCGACACCGAGAGGCCGTTAAGTCCGATGCCTGTTTTGACCGCTGTGCTTCAGCATTTGAATGGGACCCTTGAGGTTATTAGTGCTTGGAACCCTGGCCCGCTCCAGCTGGCCCTGAGGTGGCCCATTAGTCATCATGCTCAGTGTATTTTTTACACACGGCCCTCTACTTCCTGGAAGAAAGCCCAGGGCAGGGAGGGAAGCGGTCTTTAGAGCGCAGGTATAATATAACAGTTTGTTGCGAGTGCTAATCAGATTTCCCGGAAACGGTCTGATGAGGACTGCTTTAAAGGCCTGGAGTTTCTTTGTACAAAAATAAGGAAGGAAGGAGGGAAGGGAAAATTGAAGGGAGAAAAGAAACGGGCAGTGGTCGCTGTGCATTTCTCATGATCTGAGCTGGGGGTTCAACTGGAACGTTAAAGTTGGATTTGGAGTTGGTCTGCAGGGCAGTGCCCGGGTGGCTCCTCTTTTAGAAGAGAAGAGGTTGCCCTTGGTAGGTCCGTTAAGCCCCCTGGGCCTCAGTTTCCTCATCTGAAAAACGAGACCATGATGGTTGAAATAAAAAACTCTACCGTCTTTCAAGACGAGACCTCTGCTCTCCAAAGTCTGGCTGGAGGCACCAGTGCGGGAAATGGCTTCCTGCCCCTCGAATGGCGCTGGGTCCTTGGTGTGGGTCTTCAGCGGCCCCAAATATCAGACCCGGGCGGACCCCGGGCAAACTCGGGGTTCATACCCTCGATTTATAGATGAGGGGAAGTGGCGGTGGAAAGCTTTGTCCCAGGTCCCCAAGCAATGCTAGACTCAGACCCAGGGTTATTTCTCATGGAACGCACACACCATCTTGAAAATGGAACAGGGGCCCCAGAGTAGGTCCACCTTGAACTTGGGGGCTGGAGGAAATCAGCAACATCTCCTTTGCACCTGGAAGAACGGGAACTGGGTCGGCCCTGAGGGAGCCAGATACCTGGGATGGTCTTCGCTTTGACAAGACACTGCCAAGACTCTCCAGGGGCCCCCATCTTTCCTGAGGGTCGAGGGCTGTGGGCTGCTGTCCGATGGGACTTTGCTGTTCTCAGAACTCACCCCACGGAAAAATACACCATTTCGGAAAAGAGCCAGGGTTCTTGGAATGGAAAACAACCAGCTCAAGTGACAGCCCACCGGAGATGACAGCCAGGGAGTTCGATGTGGCAACTTTTGAGGAAAGGATTCCTCTTGGCACACGCATTTGCATTTTTCTTGGCATTCTTTGACCTCTTTGCAGTTCTGCTGCATCTCTTAGCAATTACCCCCTGTCTTTCTCCTCCAGCTTCTGCCTGAGGCCGTTGGGGGCAGACAGATGCTAACTGTGCCTTCTGGACAGAGCGAGTTGTAGGGCCAGACAGCTGTTGGCTCTCGTGGCAGCATTTCTGGAGGGTCCTGGGAGGTGCCCCTGCCCTGGCTGCGCCCTGCACCTCTGCAGACAGTGTCTATGGTGGTGGCTTGGTTTTTTACCACAACCGGAGCCATTGAGCCTCGGATTCCTCTTCCCCGACCTCTCCTCCGATTCCAAACAGATATCCCCACGCACTAGAGACTCCGAAACTCACAGGAACCCCACTTTCTGGTGGCTTGTGTGGCACATGGGCTGTGCATGTGTAACGCTGGAATCCAGGGTATGTCACCCTTGGCACTAGGACGCCCGGGCCAGATAAGTCCCTGTTGGGAGGGAAGGTTGTCTTGTGTGCTGGCTGTTCAGCAGCGTCCCCGCCTCCACCCTCTAGGTGTCAGGAATAGGGTTGTACTCCCCCCAGCAAGTGGCAACAACCAAAAATGTCTCCAGCCTTTGCCAGATGCCCTCTGAGGGGCGCATTGTCCCTGGTTGAGAACCACTGGTTTAATCACTTACTGGTTTTTCCAAGGGGGCTGGAGGGGGCGGGAGGGCAGATCTCAGTGGAGAGAAGACGATCCTCAGTTCCTTTCCAAAATCAGCCCCTGTAAACGCCCAAGGTGACACCTGCCACTCATCCACGTAGCCTTTATTGAGCGCCTCTCGTGTGCCACGCAGGGAGGATTGGGGCTCCTTCTTGATGAGATTTCCGGTTTTCGCCTTGGATTTGCATTTATTAGGAGGAAAGACTCGGGCACCCTTGAAAGCTGATATTTCGGGTTTCCGGTTAAACTGTGGACGTCCAGCCGGCACCAGCTTTTACCCCTGTGGACCCTCTCACCTGGGACTTTTAACCCATATGTTTTCTGACTGTCCGGGTTTTAGGTTGAGGCGCCATAGGAGGCTGAGTTTTGACTGGATCTCAGGTCAGGCCGTTGGCCACAGCTTCCCAGGAAGTCTGGGTTAAGCCAGCTACCCCGCCCAGCACGTCCTGCGGGCAGGGGTGAGCTTAGTGTTTGTCAAGCCACAGAATAACTAATGGCTTTTGTGCACGCACGCGTGTGCACACACACCCGTGCCAACACACACGCACACGTATGGGCTCACACACTCAGCTGCTACCCCTTTCTACCTTTCCGGCCAGCTTCTCTCGAGGTTGGGAATGGTTACAGCTTCTTCTGGGCGTGTGAGACAGACACAAAGGAAAAAAGTGCACATACACGTACTTTCTCCCCTATAAGTTGTGCAAATGTACGCACTCTCCCTTTGAAAGAGAGGAAGGGAGATGGAGCTGTGTGTGAGGCTGCCTGGGAGAGGAGGCTGGCGGGGCGGGATGGCGGGAGCTGCTTAACTTCGGGACAAGGTGAGATGCACTTGAGCCCCAGTAACCCCAGAGCGGCCAGCTCAGGTGTGCCCAGGTACCACCTCCACGTACCAGCCCCACCTCGTCTCAGAGTTTTTAAACGTCCATGGTTTGGTCAATTGTTAAAACATAAGGAAGTGTTGGAGAGGAGGACACGGGGCGGTGGGGGGGCGCCCAAGCCAGAGGGCCCGTGTGGCCTTGTCTCCAGGTGTCATCACCCGGAGAGAAGTTGGCAGGCAGCTTGGCACCTGGGGTCCCACGCGAAGAGAAAGAGCTCTGGCGCACCGAGTCTCGGAGACTGTGCTCCTGCCAGCCTTGGGCTCCTGTATGGCACACGTGCTGAGGAGGAGATCAAGGCC